TTGTTTGACCTGAAAATTGTGTATATTATTTTAAGTTTCTGCACATGCAAAACCTAGATGATGAAAGTCCCAGTCTTCTTTTCTCTCCTCTTCTTTTTTTTTATTAAAACTTCTTAAAAAGCAAATGCATGTTTGGGAAACGCAGCACATAAAAGGTTTCAGAGGAATGCTTTTAATACAAATAAATGCTCCTCAGCAATTAGCAGTTAGAAGTAAAGGTGTGAGACATCCCCAAGAGTTCACCAGTGTTACATTTGGGTTAAGTATTAATTCACCACCTTCACCTAATTTCTAGTTGATTAATCCACAATAAAATCAGGTAGATCCATTGACCATTTTTTTTGCTGAATACTGGACTTAGTAATGTATTAGCCAAAAGTTCCAGAACTCAGACTACAAACATTTATTTTTTTTTTCTCCCTTCATTTTCCCAACTGGCAGAAAACTAAGGCTTTAAAGACTTAGGAATATAACTGGGAAAATAGTCAATTTATTTTGTATGTATTGAATAGTTGATCAAAATGAGGCAAGATGAAGATTCTTACTGACAGACACAAGGATAACCTTCATTTCATCTGACGTAACTTCCCAAAGCAAGTATTCTTTCAAATTTTCACTGGACTGCTGTTTACACCTTACTCCAAAATACAGAAATAAAATTACATTTTACTCCCCAACACATAATACGTTTTGGAATTCAGTCGCATACTGATGCAGAAGATATTTCTTCTGGAGAGTTTGATGGAAAACAAATTAAATAAAAAGAGCTGACAGTCTGGGGAGAAATGGTCAAATCCCAGACTGACACTGCTTCCCAGCAGACTGCAGAGCCAGACCTGGCACAAAACCTACAGCCATTTGAACACAGGACACTGGCCAGAGTTCAGTGACCCATTCCCTCAGTCCCACGAACATAAGACGTGGTTCCATTTGCCTGCCCAGACCACTTGGCAGGAATAAGCCACTTCTTTTTAATTACTTTTGCTGCCTCTCTCCAAAGAGATTCCACAGACCGCTAAATATTCCTCCCAAAATTGCTGCTCTGCAGTCTCACAAGAATAAATCTTGCCATGTGATGCTAGGAACATCCCTCAGAGATGAGACATGCTCAGGATGTGGGGCCACACCAGAGTGCCAGACCCCCACCTGCGACCCTCTGCATATTTGGTCCCCAAAACATTCCCAAAGGCAACATCACATTGGAAATGCATTTTTCCCTTTTACTGTCTCCTGCGTCACAGCATCTCTGTGCTCCAAAATAAATTCTGAACTACATCTGTTAAGTCCCAGTCACCCACTCCCAGCATTTTTAATCATTTTTTCCCTCTGCTATCAGGAAAACGACGCTTCTCCTCTCTGGATGGCAACGACTTTCTTCAACATAATTTGAAAAGCAGTAGCAGCAAAGAAACCTACTGCAGTAGCAGCAGCCAGCTGCTTGGATGGGAGGCCAGATGATATTCCAGGAGTTTAGCCTTGTATGCAGGTTTTCACATGATGGACTAGGAAATCAGCACTTTTTTTTTTCCAGAATTAATTGTCTATTATCAGCGCTGCTACCCATGCAGGTTTTCACATGATGGACTAGGAAGTCAGCACTTTTTTTTTTTTTTTTTTTTCCAGAATTAATTGTCTATTATCAGCGCTGCTACCACAGATCAGTGCTTCAACAGATGCAACAAAAGACAAACAAGGACTGAATGAAGGTTTTTAGAGACCCAAAAGAGGCAATGGGACTAAATGGTTACTGTAGAAAGACACAATTTAAAAAAAACTACCTAAGGGGTTAAGAGGGAATCGTTTTAACTACTCTTATTCAGAAAAAAAACCCAGAAAATTTAGCACAAACACCAGAGGAAGCTTCCCAAGCATGAAACCCATGCAGTTTTGTAAACCTTCCCCCATTAATCACTGGACAGAGAAAAGGAACAAGTTGACAGGACCCAAGAGTGAGCAGTACAGCTTACAGCACAATTAATGTGCTCGTGGAAGATGTTATTAAATGAACTCCAGACTGATGTTTCAACAGCACCACCTAGTTATAAAACCAGGCACAGGAACAGCTGTATCTCTTGTTCTCCCAAGCTCCAGTAATGAGCTTTGGAGCTACTGCATAAACATCAACCCTTCTTTTCTACAAACAGTTATATAAAGACAGAACTTATTCAAACAGGCAAATTTTGACAGACATATTCCTTAGAAACAGCCAACAGTGTTTCAATGATTAGTATATATATGCTACAAGCTGCACTTTTATAATAAACAGTATAAAATACAGTAAGTTGGACAACAGATTATGAACAGGAAAACTAAAGATGTTTTCCTATTTTAAGAATTCAATTTCCTTCTATAACCTCAGCCCTAGCAATACATGAAAGGAATTTTCTTCCAGCCCAAGCAGGCCCGGATCTCAGATAGTCCCAAACTTCAGAAAAGAAGATACTCCCCCAAGAACTGCCATCCCAACTATCTCAACTTGCTGGGGACAGAATGAAAAGGCTGGTCTGTGTGGCAGCATAACCCATTACCACCGGACACAAAAGCATGTGGGAGTATCTCTATTTAAGAGAACTGTTGATTTTACCTTTCCAAATTTCCAATCCTAAAAGTTAATACTGTGTCACTTCTGCTGCAGATTGTAGAAGCAATTATAAAGTAATGTTGATTTTACCTTTCCAAAATTTCAATCCTAATAAGTTAATGCTGTGTCAGTTTTGCTGCAGATTGTAGAAGCAATTATAAAGTCATACAAGTTTCAAATAAGAATAGTTTTTTAAAAGAGTCTACTTTCTACCAAAGTCCCTCAGGGAATTATTTTTTTTTCCTGCTGTACACTTCGCTTATAACCTATCATAACATCAATTAGTCATTGCCAAATTACTACAGCTGATAAAGCCAAAAGAGGCAGTCAAGTGGTGAAGGCTTCAAAAGTTCTTAGTGATTTCAGACAGCTCTTTGAAAGAGCTTCATGCTCTGTGAAAAGCTGGACTCTTGAGGTCTGTGTTGCAGCACCTTAAAACAGTATGCCAAAATATAGATCATTCCTGAGAAAGAATAGGAAAAACCTACAATGCTGAACTAGCATTTTAAAAAGCAAGATGTAATCAAAACTGAGGGTTTCAGGAAAAGCACTCATCTTTCCAAAACATCACATACCTGCCTGTATTTGGTCAGTAGACAAGGGGCAACCTATGGATGTGATCTATCTGGATTTCTGTAAGGCCTTTGACACGGTCCCCCACAACATCCTGATTGCCAAATTGGAGGGGTATGGATTTGATGGGTGGACTGTTCAGTGGATAAGGAACTGGCTGGATGGTCGCATCCAGAGGGTGGTACTCAATGGCTCAAAGTCCAGATGGAAACCAGTCACAAGTGGTGTTCCTCAAGGGTCCGTGCTGGGGCCGGTGCTGTTTAACATTTTTATCAATGATATAGACAGGGAGATTAAAGGCACCATCAGCAAGTTTGCGGACGATACCAAGCTGTGTGGTGTTGTCGATACACCAGAGGGATGGGATGTCATCCAAAAGGACCTGGACAGGCTGGAGAGGTGGGCCCAGGTGAACCTCATGAGGTTCAACAAGAGCAAATGCAAGGTTCTGCACCTGGGCCGGAACAATCCTCGCCACCAATACAAACTGGGGGGTGAGGGATTGGAAAGCAGCCCTGAGGAAAGGGACTTGGGGGTGCTGGTGGATGAGAAGCTGGACATGAGCAGGCAGTGGGCAGCTGCAGCCCAGAAGGCCAATCCCATCCTGGGCTGCATCAAAAGAAGCGTTGCCAGCAGGTCCAGAGAGGGGATTCTGCCACTTTACTCTGCTCTGGTGAGACCTCACCTGGAGTATTGTGTGCAGGTCTGGAGCCCTCAATATAAGAAGGACATGGACCTGATGGAGAGGGTCCAGAGGAGGGCCACAAGGATGATCAGGGGGATGGAGCACCTCTGCTCCGAGGACAGGCTGAGGGAGCTGGGGTTGTTCAGCCTGGAGAAGAGGAGGCTCCGGGGAGACCTAATAGCAGCCTTCCAGTACCTGAAGGGAGCCTACAGGAAGGCTGGGGAGAGCCTGTTTAGAAAGGCCTGCAGTGACAGGACGAGGGGCAATGGCTTCAAGCTGGAGGGGAACAGATTTAGACTGGAGATGAGGAGAGGGTTCTTCACTGTGAGGGTGGTGGAGCACTGGAACAGGTTGCCCAGGGAGGTGGTTGAGGCCCCATCCCTGGAGATATTCAAGGAGAGGCTCGACGAGGCCCTGGGCAACCTGGTCTAGTTGGGGGTGTCCCTGCTGACTGTGGGGGGGTCGGACTAGATGGCCTTTGGAGGTCCCTTCTGGCCTGGGCAACTCTATGATTCTATGATTCTATTTTTACACCAGCACTCTGCAGTGCTCTCCTCAGTGCCTCCTCACCAGCACATCAAACTAGTTCAACCATTTAGAAACTTCCCAAATGGCCAAGGGATCAGAAAAGTCCATCTAAATGCTCTGCCTTTTGCTGCTTCTCGCAACGTGAGCTTTGCAAGGCTGAAAAAAATCAGAGCTCTCCAGCAGTCACAGGAAGACACTGAAATCAGGAGGGTTCAAACTTTTGGTGGTTCAAACGATAACAAAAAAGACACTTTCCCTTCTCAACTACTAATTATGGAAAAACTCAAACCAAAACAAATCACTTCAGTTCAAATGCACAGCGTGCCCTGCCACATCAAGACATGGCTGAAATCAGCAGATTTTGTTCTAGAAAACAGAATAAAGGCTCCCCGAAAAATTGTACTGAAATATAGAATAAAAATAAAAAAAACCACAAAAATTAAAGTTGAGAAAGAGAGAGCACTACACAGAGAAGGTAATGATATCTGACAGACTAATGGAGAGAAAAAGCAGCACAACACATCAAGGAGAAAAGCTTGATCACAAATGGAAAAAACACATTTAATGCAGAGAAAAAGGTCACGATTGCAACATGAAATATTCACAGTTCTTTGAAGGCCATTACCATCTTACCCTCTCTGTTGTCTTTGATGATTTCTGTGACGCCTCATAATCTTTCTTTGTTTCTAGGATTCTTTTTACTAGCCCACCTGTTGAAAAATCAGTATATTTCTCAGCATTGGGTTGGGGTTGGCACTAAAATCTTGGTTTAAATGTTCAAATAAAACCCGCTGCTTAATTTTTTTTAACATAAACAATTTTTAGAGCAACATGAACAGCATTCTATTATGCATCTTAATTCTTGAGATACAAGGCATTTGTTATTTGATCTATTTTATCCAGCATCCTCTAAATCAAACTGTATTATCAGTAGCATTTACTGAACGACTCCTGGTACAGAATCAGATCCTTTAGCTGTATTAAAAGAAAAGCTTTTCCTTGCACCCCTCTTTTGAAAGAATTCCAGAACTGCACATGACAGGTATAGATAGAAATAAAAAACTATTTGTTTGCAAGAGATTTTTGGATGCAGATAAATATATCTGCCTAAATCACATGCAGTGTAACCATAATGGAAGCCCTTGAATCAGAGATGTGAGGTCAGGAGTAAGCGTAGATGTTGTTAAAAAATGGTCCAGCAATTTCTCTAAAAGCTTTTCCATAACTTGCCTTGAAAAGCCAGTAACATCTTATACCCCAGAGCTGCCAAGCTGTACCTGACACTCTAAGAAACATTAATTGATGACATTTATGCAGAATTTTAAATCCTGCTGACGTTAAAGATGTAGAGAAAAATCTGTACTTAACATCAGTGGCAAATACAGGTGCTCAACTAATCGAGAGTGCATTTGATAAATAATCTAGGTTTTTCTTGCAAAGGTTGCAAGCTTCTACCCTCATTAGGTATTCTGCTGCTTTTACACATTCAGCATTGGTTTAAACTCATGGGTTTATTATATATATATATAAAAAAATATATGTAAAAGCAAACATACCATGCTTTTCATCCTCAACCAGCTCCACTTCTGGCTCCTACATATACAGGAAGAGACTTTTAGTTGCAGTAAGTTGGTGCTGCTATAATATACAACTATTCAAAAACATCCAACTAGAAGGTACTTTAACAAGAAAGTTACAAACAAATTGTGTAGAATTTGTAAAATTAACAGACCCTTTCCATCTCTGGCATATCTGGCAGGGGTGGTGCTGCCTCCACCACAAACTGGTCATCATCATCATCAGACACCTGCTGGTCTATGATCACATTTGAGACTGCTTTACCCCCACCATTCCTGAAAGAGACACACAACAAAATAAAAACTTCTTAAGATCCGTCCAAACCTCCTGAGACCCACCTAGAAGAAACTGCAGTTCCCTCCCTTCCTCTTTCCCTCCCATAAAATAAAGCAGCACCAACTAAGAGCACATCAAATCGCCGGTTTCCATTCGCAGCCCAACTCTGGAAACGGATATCCTTCTCTTGCAAAAGGATGTTTATTTTCACAGAATCACAGAATCTTCTAGGTTGGAAGGGACCTTAAAGATCATCTTGTCCAACCGTCAACCTCACTGACAAAAATAGACACCCGCACAACAAACAAGGAGCATCATCACTAAACCAGACCTCCCAGCACTACATCAACCCGGCTTTTGAACACCTCCAGGGATGGGGCCTCCACCACCTCCCTGGGCAGCCCATTCCAATGCCTGAGAACCCTTTCAGGGAAAAAATTTTTCCTAATATCCAGCCTGAACCTCCCCTGGTGCAACTTGAGGCCATTTCCTCTCGTCCTGTCGCCTGTGACTTGAGAGAAGAGACCGACCCCCACCTCTCTACACCCTCCTTTCAGGGAGTTGGAGAGAGCAAGAAGGTCTCCCCTCAGCCTCCTCTTCTCCAGGCTGAACACCCCCAGCTCCCTCAGCCTCTCCTCATAAGACTTGTGCTCCAGACCCCTCACCATCTTTGTCGCCCTTCTCTGGACCCGCTCCAGCACCTCGATGTCTTTTTTATGGTAGGGGGCCCAAAACTGGACACAGCACTCAAGGTGAGGCCTCACCAGTGCCCAGTACAGGAGGACGATCACCTCTCGGGCCCTACTCCCCACGCTGTTCCTGACACAGGCCAGGATGCTGGTGGCCTCCTTGGCCACCTGGGCACACTGCTGGCTCCTGTTCAGCCCACAGGCCACCAACACCCCCAGGTCCTTTTCTGCCAGGCAGCTCCAGCCACTCTGCCCCCAGCCTGGAGCGCTGCAGGGGGTTGGTGGGACCCAAGGGCAGGACCTGGCACTTGGCCTTGTTGAACCTCATCCCGTTGGTCTCGGCCCATCGATCCAGCCTGTCCAGATCTCTCTGCAGAGACTCTCTACCCTCCAGCAGGTCAACACTGCCACCCAGCTTGGTGTCGTCTGCGAACTGACTGAGGGTGCACTCGATCCCCTCGTCCAGATCATTGATAAAGATGTTTTCCTTCTAAACACTCTGCTTTAGTGATTGGCACTTACCAGAGATCACGCGTAAGCCCTTTTGGCCGTAGTTTCAAATGGCTGCTTCAGATTGCTTTGAGCATGGGATATTTACTGCATGTTTCCCAGATATATATATTCTAGTGGTAGTTTGGATTACTGTTAGAGGGTTATCTATTTCAGAGTTCCCAAAGGCAAAAAAAACCTAAATCATATTTTTTAACCTCCAGATGCTCCTACCAACCGTAACTTTTAGATAATGCACTGGATTTGCAGAAACAATAAAACAAATAAAGAAGGCTTGAATTCTCCAGTTTCCAGTGAGATGATCCACGCTAAAGCTGTTGAGCAGCAAGTGAGGCACAGAAAATCCAAGAATACCGTGGCAGGAGGGTTAGAAACATCTGCTCTGCATCTCCCCCATTCCTTACCTTTCTGGAAGTAAGACCTCTGCACTTTCTTGACGTTTTACTCGGGGTGGTGCTGGTCTGGCACTGCTGGGACGGGGAATACATCTGCAACACAAAGAGGCTTTTTCATTTATACTCTAAAAGGAAGCATCCCATGTCCTCCAGAGATGTGTAAACACACTTGAGCTGAGTAAATTAGCCAATACGTAAAGACAGTGAAAACAGCCCCAGTTTGGAATCCAATATGGCAGCACTTGTTATCCTAGTAGGAATCTAGAAAAAAAAATCTAGAAAATGTGTCCTAAACCAAAAAAAATTATGACTCTGTGTAGAAGCACCTCGTGATTTCTCTCACTAAAAAATAAATTGTGTGCAGCACACTTATTTGCCGCTAACAACAAATTTAATATTAACAGTACACACTGCAAATGTAAACAGAAAGGAATTATTTTCACAAGTGATACAATTACATAATCCTTCGCTGGGCAAAGAAAAAGTAAATCGGGATTTTATAAGGCAAGTTCATCTTACCTGTGACACCATCCTTATGAAAGTCATGTATGTTAACACAATGTTCTTCTCGTTAGACTCCCCCCACATCCCTCATATTTTAATAACGTTACACTTTATGGATTAAGAAAATAAGGCCAAAACACGTCACAATGTTAAAGCTTTTTTTTTTTTTTAGTAGAAGGAAATGAAAGTGAATAAAGGGAACCATACGTGGGATAACATTTATTATTTGGTACCACTAGCAGAAACATACTGCTCCAAGTTTCCTTGCTGCTTTCAAATGGACTGTATTTAACTGAATTTCACTGAATTTTTTAGAGTTGGAAGGGACCATAGAGATCATCTAGTCCAACTCCCCTGCTGAAGTATTACCTCCAAGCACATCATCGTTTGATTCAAAAAGAGTAAAAGACAGGAACACACCTTTGGACGGGCTGAGGTGGAGGATCATGAGGTACTTCACCATTTTCAGAGACTGCAGGCTTTTCAGGAGCCACATTCTCTGCTTCTCCTTCTATCAAAAGAAACAAACATACAATATTGGCTTAGCTGGCAAGGCAAATCTAACTTTTCTAGCAACAATATTTTCAATCTTATCAGCGGTATACTTGAATGTGCACTCATGAAATACATCACAAACATTTTAAATTAGGAATAAAATTCTATAAGCTTCCATCAAAGTTAAGCATCTTGCGAACTGCCGGTTTTTAAACATCTCAGAGCACTCACAAATTCAAAAGGGAGGCTGAAAAGAACATTTAAATTTTTTTTTCTCTTAATATTGTGAAATTCCCTCATCTGTGAAAATCACATTATCTCACTCAGTTCTTTCACATTCGGATGGTAACATTTGCAACATTTCAAGTTGCTCATAAGATAAAATCTTAAGAGAAAAAAAAACATATTAAGGAAAGCCTATATTCTCTATGCTGGGGTTGCTTTTAAAGCTTTTTTTTTGTTTACCTTAACTTCTTATATTTCTCTACTGGTAGTCTTTGTTAACCAAGCGTAGGTTTTTTAAACACTTAACCCAAAGCACAAAGTATTTTCATAGATGGCTCTTTGGTATTCTTTAAATAGAAATGACTTGAACAAGGTCTACTCAAAGCATTTGAACATAATTAAACTGTCCTTTGTTACAGTTTAAAAATTCTTTAATAAAAAGGGGAAAGGGAAAAGGAAAAAAGGAAAAGGAAAAAAGGAAAAAAGGAAAGGGAAAAGAGGGGGAAAGGGAAAAGAGGGGGAAAGGGAAAAGAGGGGGAAAGGGAAAAGGAAAAGAGGGGGAAAGGGAAAAGAAGGGGAAAAGGAAAAAGGAAAAGGAAAAGAAGGGGAAAAGGAAAGGGGAAAAGGAAAAGAAGGGGAAAAGGAAAGGGGAAAAGGAAAAGGAAAGGGGAAAAGAAGGGGAAAAGAAGGGGAAAAGAAGGGGAAAAGAAGGGGAAAAGAAGGGGAAAAGAAGGGGAAAAGAAGGGGAAAAGAAGGGGAAAAGAAGGGGAAAAGAAGGGGAAAAGAAGGGGAAAAGAAGGGGAAAAGAAGGGGAAAAGAAGGGGAAAAGAAGGGGAAAAGGAAAAAGGACTGAAGTGATTTATTAAAAAACTAAAAAGCACTGTTTGTTTTTTTTTTAAAGTTTTATATCTATCACTGATACGTTCAGTGCTGGTCTTTTGTCACTATAACGTTCCTGAGTTGCTGGCAAATTCACCTGGAAATAACAAATAAGTTGATTTTTCAGGGAAGTCATATAAAATCTTTAATAATAATCTGACCAAGTTAAGATACGAAGCAGACAACAAGAACTACAGCCAGCTTCTTACTTGGGAACTACTACTGGGCCTGGCACAACAGGGAGAAAGAAACACATTAGGGAGCATTTTCAACAAACTCACACTTCCATGCTAAAGACATTGATGTTCTGGTCACTAAGGTGAACACACTCATCAGAAATGAAACATTTTTTAAAAGTCAAAAGACGATGGAGGATTAAAATGTCTTGATAGGAAAATCTCGCCATACAGTGAGACCTGGACAGGCTGGAGAGCTGGGCAGAGAGGAACCTGAGGAACTTCAACAAAGGCAACTGTAGGGTGCTGCACCTGGGGAGGAATAACCCCCTGCACCAGGAGAGGTTGGGGGTGACCTGCTGGAGAGCAGCTCTGAGGAGAAAGACCTGGGAGTCCTGGTGGACAATAGGGTGACCATGAGCCAGCTCAAGGAGGCCAAGGGCATCCTGGGTAGCATCAGGAAGAGTGTGAGCAGCAGGTGGAGGGAGGTCATCCTGCCCCTCTGCTCTGCCCTGGGGAGGCCCCATCTGGAGCACTGGGACCAGTTCTGGGCTCCCCAGTTCCAGAAGGACAGGGAACTGCTGGAGAGGGGACAGCAGAGGCTACAAAGATGATGAGGGGCCTGGAGCATCTCCCTTATGAGGAGAGGCTGAGGGACTTGGGTCTTTTTAGTCTGGAGAAGAGAAGGCTGAGGGGGGATCTGATCAATGCTGATAAATACTTCAAGGGAGGGTGTCAGGAGGATGGGGCTGGTCTTTTTTCAGTGGTGCCCAGGGACAGGACAAGAGGGAATGGGCACAAACTTGAATAGAAGAAGTTCCACCTCAACATGAGGAGGACCTTCTTTGCTGTGAGGGTGGCAGAGCCCTGGAAGAGGCTGCCCAGGGAGGTGGTGGAGTCTCCTTCTCTGGAGACATTCCAACCCCACCTGGACACGTTCCTGTGGGACCTGCTCTGGGTGGCCCTGCTCTGGCAGGGGGTTGGACTAGATGATCTCCAGGGGTCCCTTCTAACTCCATATGGTTCTCTGATTCTGTAAATATTTGAGTAGACACTCCTCAAAGTTAAATGAGATGTGTAAAAGGTACAACAGATTTGAGAGGCAAAGCCATGCCAGTCTACTTTGAACTACTAAAGCACAGGGACTACTCACCCTTCAAAGTAAGTTTACACAGTCCACAAATATAAAAATAAAAGGTCAAGAGGAAATTCAGAACCAGTATGCAGAATGTGGTATTTCTTTTTGGAGTAGTCCAAAGTTCCCCCCAAACCCTGCAAAACCTTGTGGAAGAACTATCTTCAGCTCCTCTCTGACTAACCTACTTCAAAGGTAAGTTTGAAGTCGCGTAATGACAGTAACTGTGATTTTCAAGCAGTTTCAACACCTAGTTTCCATGTAATTCCACTAGAGTTAGCTAGAGTACAAATCTGGAAGTATGATTAACCAACCAAATGCCATCATGGACCAGCTACAAAAGAAAATAAGACAGTGCCTAAGCATCCTGCATGGACTGTGACTTCCAGGATGCTTTGAAGAGCACTGGAAAACTGGAAAAAGTAGTTTCCTAAACCCCCCCAGCTACTGTCAACTGGCACTGCCACCAAATAAGCACTCCTGCCTTCACACTCCCATTAGCACACACATTCAGATACTGCCTAAAGAACTGGATTCAGTGCAACTCAGTTTAAGGCACTGCTCAAATTTTACATATAATGCCAGTGCTCTGCAGATGGGTGGTAGGGGGCTGCAACGGCTCAACTGAATGACTGACAACATCTTAGGGTTACTCTAAGATAAACTCTAGAAAGGAGCCTGGCACTACTCCTCCCAGAGAAGTGTACCCCAATGTCATTACCAAAACAGTGAGAAGACAAACTTCACCGGTGAAACCCCCAATAAAGCTCCTTTTAGAATTTAAGAAGGTTCAGAAAAATCTTACGTAACCATCAGCTTCTGAAAAAGCCTCATGCTGGCCTACACTTCATAGAGTGAACATGAAATCCAGCTGTTCCCCCCTCTCCTGCCACAGTGCACACATGTCTAAAGAAAGTGGAACCTAAGGAACTTCAGGGATGCATGAGCAAACAGCTGAGGCAGGCCAAAACAGCCTTTTGCCAGAAAGCTTTAAACATACACTTCTTATTTAAGAGGTTGCCATGAAGTAGCCAGTGAGGATTCCTAAAGGAGGACACAAAGGGAGAATAACTGCTACGCTGACAGATCCTCATTTATATAGAAAAGAAACCAAAACACAATGAAAAGGTTAAAAGCCTCAACGGTCAGAAACAGAATATAAGACTGAAGCAGAATGCAGAAATAATACTCCAGAAGATCCAGGAAAATAAGTTTATTTCTGCCAGTTAATGTTGTGGGGTTTTTTAACCCAATAAATGATTTTTCCTTTGGAAATTTTCATAACTTTCGTTTGCAGTTAAAGACACAAGAACATGACTGTTCTTATTGACTTCACAATTCAACTGTGAAAGCTATGAAATGTTGTAATGACAAATCACCTCTATAGGAACTTACAGAAAATTAAGGCTCACTAATGCACTACTACGTTACACTATCTTATTGAATAAATTTGCAAATAAAGATCAGTCAATATAATATTTGGTTCTCTTATCATCTGAGAATCCAATCTAAATCAATAAGGAACCCAAGTGTACTCCTCTTTCATACATTCAAATTAGAAATAGAGGAATAGAAAGTTATATTCCATAACAAATACATTCCAATAGACAAGACAGCTCCAAAAGATTTAAAGGAATTAGCGTGGAAGCTCTCCCAGTTGTGTAAGGTCACTCAAATGTCTTGGCCAACCATCTACATTTCATTAGACTGACACAGCTATGAGGCCCTGAAGGCCACAGGTGGACTGGGAAAGAGCCTTTGACCTCCTACATACATGGTATCAACTCTCCTAACTAGGTCAGGCATCTGGATTTGAAGAAAACAAAACCACAGCTTTTTGCTTAAAGCTCAGTTCTTCCTCCTACATTTTACTTCCATGGCTCCACGTTTACTGTCGCTGGACACAAATACCTCATTAACAACACATGTCTTGGGAGCTATATACAAACTCAAAAAAAAAAAAAGAAGAAATAAGAATGCAGAGGTGGAATTTTCCTCTAAAATCCTGTAAAATGCAATCACTAAGTAAAATTCCCAAATACTTGTACATAAAGGCAACATGCAATGATTCAGTTCTAATATAGAACAAGTCACCAAGGGATTCAGGCATAGCAGCCTTGCCTTTTCCTTGGGACATTGCAAGCACTGGCCTCATTGCAAACTTGAGTAAGAGTAAAGAAGGAGAGAATATAAAGTAACTGTTTTATCAGGGAACATACATACATTTTTCAAACCAGGACATTAATCACAAGATGTGATTAAAACACAAGGCAGCAGCTGGATTAAGTGTAAATCACCCTCTTTAAATCATTGAGCTGTGTGGATTCAAGTTTGACCCTGAAGCACTCAAGGTAGACTTTCCAAGGCAGTCAATTTTCTTTTATTCTGCCTACCTTTCTGTTTTACAGCAAGTCCTGGTTCAGCTTTCTCTTGCAGTTTAGCAGCATTGTCCTCTGAAATCCTATCTGCCGTGCTCTTTGTCTCCACGGTTCCTGTAACAAAACAGTTTACAATCAAATGAAACCAAAGATACAATAAAAATTTAAAATAAAAGCCCATGCTAAGTACCTGTTACACTTACCGATTCCTTAAGGGCTATTCTAGTTTAACAAAACATCTTGAGTGTAAATAAATAACATTCAAAGTTCACAAAGACCTTTTACACGGCCATAAATTGAACTTCTTATGTTACTGCGAACTAATGGCAGCTTCTTCAGTTCTGAAACGATTTACAGGTATTATTTATTATCCTGCTAGCTAGTGAAACAATAAGATATTTACCTAATAAAATCTAAGTAATTGATAAATTAGAATATTGTTTGTATGCTACTTGGAATGCAGAGTGCACTTCACTTTGTTTTCTAAGGCTTTAGCTTTAAACATGTTTCATACTAAAGCCATTAAGAAATTTCAAGAAAGAAAAGCTGGTTTCTGGTAGCTGAACTCCACCACGTGCTGGTAATGCCACAGAAGAACCTAGTCCAACAAGTTTAGTCACGACACTAGTTCTTGTGTGTTCTCCTGTTGTGCATTTATTTATCTCCAGTTAATATTAGAAAATACAGAAAGCTCTAGTTACTGGTGATGATGATCAGGGAGATCAGGGTGCAACAGGCATCAGTGCAGCTCCAGGAGGTTTTTAGTATCTTCTGGATAAATTCCTGGAGCACCTCTGAGCCTTCCTCACCTATTGCAGCTCTGCTGTGTTAGAAGAAGAGGAGGGCTAATGCCCCAAAGTGTTGATCACTTGGGTAAACTGAAATTTCAGCACACTGGCCTGTTGCATCATAAAAAGAGGAATATTTTAAAATATTTGCCTTCAAGACAAAATACAGCATTTAATTTATCAGAAAAACTGGATCTTGATTTTAAAGAAGGGACAATCCTATAAAATGGGGCGTGTCCGGTCACTGTACTTTAGTGCCAGTTCAGGCTATAAAGCAAATATTCAAATCTTGGGAAATCAAAAAAAGTTATAGGATCAGCTAAGGATCACTAAGTAGTAAAATAAGACTACATTTAATTGAATCCAGATGGTATTTTTCAGCTGCAAAATTATTAAAATTTCACAGCACATAAGTACATCAGATGTGACGCAAAATTTTGAGTTTTCAAGCCCCAACTTCAATTAAGCTCCTAAATCAGCAGACGTTCACATCCAAAGTGCCAGATCTTTTCCAAGGTATTTTTTAAGGCACCTAAACATCTTTTTGATTTTTTCCCCAAGTCCTTTTGAAAACAGGGCTATTGATTGCTCTGAAAAAACTACCCAAGCTCTGATATAACTTCAGTATTTTGCCTACAATACGTGGAAACCTACAAAAACAGAAACCCAAAGAAAACGTGGATGCTTAGGAAGACACACAGCAACAAACAAGTTCTTTACATAAATTAATAATAATGACATTGACTGATTTTTCAAGTCTGTCCTGAAATCAACAGTGGAGGATCTACTCCTCCACCACAGGAATGTATGCCCCAGGAAGCATACACAAAGATAAATAGTTCATTGAAGCAGAAATACTGAGTTCTACTAGTTTAGGAGGAGATCAACACGCAGCAGAGAAAGGTCAACCACCACTTTCATTTACCTGTGCTGATAAGGGCCAAGATGAGTTGTCATTTAATAAAACTGAAATAAGCATTTAAACAGCCTTCCACCAATCTATAGTTACCCATAAGGTCTAGGGCTGAGCAGTGGAAAGAGAAGCACTTTACTCCATTTTCATTTAGAAATTAATTCAGTGTCTGAAAGGAAACCTACTCAGGTCTCAATTAAAATCAACTGCAAGTTGAAAAATAAAATTACATTCAACGTATCAATCAACTTTTAAATTAGCAAAAAACGATCTCTATTGCATGGACTAGTTTTGCTGCAAGGCATGTTGCAACTATGAAAGCCATCATTGCCTGAGTAGTAATAAATGTAACATTAACTACATTAAAAAACCTAAAAAAGCCCAAAACATTTTCTCCAAAACCATTAGGAATTTGTTCATAATAGAGATAAGCAAATGTTGGTCTAAATTATTTTTAATTACTAAGATAGCAAATATACCAGGTTTTGCTTAGATAGAGCTCTATGCACCACTTCAGCTTTATTTATTACAAGTTTAGTCACGACACTAGTTCTTGTGTGTTCTCCTGTTGTGCATTTATTTATCTCCAGTTAATATTAGAAAATACAGAAAGCTCTAGTTACTGGTGATGATGATCAGGGAGATCAGGGTGCAACAGGCATCAGTGCAGCTCCAGGAGGTTTTTAGTATCTTCTGGATAAATTCCTGGAGCACCTCTGAGCCTTCCTCACCTATTGCAGCTCTGCTGTGTTTGAAGAAGAGGAGGGATAATGCCCCAAAGTCTTGATCACTTAGGTAAACTGAAATTTCAGCACACTGGCCTGTTGCATCATAAAAAGAGGAATATTTTAAAATATTTGCCTTCAAGACAAAATACAGCATTTCATTTATCAGAAAAACTGGATCTTGATTTTAAAGAAGGGACAATCCTATAAAATGGGGCGTGTCCGGTCACTGTACTTTAGTGCCAGTTCAGGCTATAAAGCAAATATTCAAATCTTGGGAAATCAAAAAAAGTTATAGGATCAGCTAAGGATCACTAAGTAGTAAAATAAGACTACATTTAATTGAATCCAGATGGTATTTTTCAGCTGCAAAATTATTAAAATTTCACAGCACATAAGTACATCAGATGTGACGCAAAATTTTGAGTTTTCAAGCCCCAACTTCAATTAAGCTCCTAAATCAGCAGACGTTCACATCCAAAGTGCCAGATCTTTTCCAAGGTATTTTTTAAGGCACCTAAACATCTTTTTGATTTTTTCCCCAAGTCCTTTTGAAAACAGGGCTATTGATTGCTCTGAAAAAACTACCCAAGCTCTGATATAACTTCAGTATTTTGCCTACAATACGTGGAAACCTACAAAAACAGAAACCCAAAGAAAACGTGGATGCTTAGGAAGACACACAGCAACAAACAAGTTCTTTACATAAATTAATAATAATGACATTGACTGATTAAGTGTTTGAAGATCTCCAGGCTTCATTAGTCTAAACAGGACCACTCTTTAGACAGGATTAATTATTTTAACAGGTATCAAATCACAGGTGTTACTGTTCCCTCTGAACTGAGATGTTAAACTGATTTATGTACAGTGGCTTCCTTCTGCATTAGAAATAAAATATCAGCGCCCAGGGCACAAAAGCATAGAAAGAAAACTCAAACAATAGCATCTTCACTTAAATCTTGGACAAAGAGGCACAGAGAAATGACTAGTGCAGGTGTGAGGTGGATCACAGAATGACAGGGGTTGGAAGGGACCTGTGGAGATCAGCTAGTCCAACCCTCTGCCAGAGCAGGTTTACGAGGAGAAATGTTTATTTATGATTGTACCATTTGTTTAATGGTTCCAGTCAACAAAGACTCAGAAGAGGTTATCGTCCAAGGGCTGGTAAAACGGCCTGTAATCAATGTAATTACAGGGTGTAGCAATTCACTAATGGGCAAGAATGGATACCACAGATCACAGAATGCTATGGGGTTGGCGGATACCACAGATCACAGAATCACATGGGGTTGGAAGGGACCTCTGGAGATCATCTAGTCCAACCCCCTGCCAGAGCAGGGCCACCCAGAGCAGGTCCCACAGGAACGTGTCCAGGTGGGGTTGAATGTCTCCAGAGAAGGAGACTCCACCACCTCCCTGGGCAGCCTCTGCCAGGGCTCTGCCACCCTCACAGCAAAGAAGGTCCTCCTCATGTTGAGGTGGAACTTCTTCTATTCAAGTTTGTGCCCATTTCCTCTTGTCCTGTCCCTGGGCACCACTGAAAAAAGACCTGCCCCATCCTCTTGACACCCTCCCTTGAAGTATTTATCAGCATTGATCAGATCCCCCCTCAGCCTTCTCTTCTCCAGACTAAAAAGACCCAAGTCCCTCAGCCTCTCCTCGTAAGAGAGATGCTCCAGGCCCCTCATCATCTTTGTAGCCCTCTGCTGGACCCTCTCCAGCAGTTCCCTGTCCTTCTGGAACTGGGGAGCCCAGAACTGGACCCAGTGCTCCAGATGGGGCCTCCCCAGGGCAGAGCAGAGGGTGAGGATGACCCCTCTCGACCTGCTGGTCACAAGTGACAGTCTTGGCAGACTTAGCACTGAAGCATGGACAAGATGACTACAGAACTACCTCCCCCTCTGCTGTCAAGACCAGCACAGGCAGGAATCCATCCAGAGTCCTGGCTCTGCACATCCATCCAGGGATGGATGGATCCACTCTTGCCACTACGAGGGGAGACTCCTGGCTGGCACAAAGAGATGGAACTTCTACAGCTTCTCATTTCCTGCTGATAATTCCTCTGTAACAAATAAATACCTGTCCTTCCTTCCCCAGCACTCTCAGCAGAAATGCAGTGGGGCTTGGGTTCCTTACACCTGGTTGAGCTACTGTGGAAGCTGACGTGGGACAGGACTCAGTACTGATGACACCCAGATCACCTTCCCTGGTCCAACTCCAAGCACAAGGTCCTAGCCTGACACCAGTTCAGGTGCAATGGAGTTGACCACAGCTGTAATGACAGACATCAGAGAAAGTCAAAGATTTACAAAAATGTGCCATCCTTTCAATGCTTAGAGGAATCTTCTCTAATCATCAAATGGGCTGCAAGCCAGAGGTTTTGCTTAACACCTTATCTCCACCTGTTCTCCAGCTTACACCTGGAGTATTCTAAGTGTCTTAGGCTATAGAAATCACTCAGATTCTCATTCAAGACTCAGGTCTTGAATTCACTCGACCATCTTTTGACTGAAGAAACCCCAGAAAATATAACAGAGATGTGGCTTAAGTGTCTCAGAAAGGTTTGGCTGGTCTTGAATTCACTCGACCATCTTTTCACTACAGAAACCCCAGAAAATATAACAGAGATGTGGATGGTTTAGTGTACTGCTTATCGAACAAATCTCCAGGGAAATTCCTTTTTTTGCACTCACTCACCAGTACTCAGTAAATCTCAGGGAAAACAACTTTTTTGTTTTGTTGGTTGGGTTTTTTTGACATACATGATCTTTTCTAAACCCAAAATTTCTACAGATCAAACACTATGACTTCAGATCCTTGAGAAATGACTGAAAAAATTCAGAAAGTAAGTGAAGTTTGGATTCCCTAGCCAAATTTAGGAAAAGCACTCTTCCCAAATATTAACTGATAAAGTCACAAATTCAGAGTTAATGGCTATATGATTTATGCCCACAGGAAAGCACATCTTGCCTCACAAATGTCTTGAATCTTACTAAAACAACCTTAAACAACGTATCTTAAGTCTTACTAAAACAAAAATACTGTGCCAAATATTGCTGCACTGTAAATATTTAACAAACCCTTACATCTGACTTTAGATGTAAAGGTACCACATAATAATTTTATCAACTCAGAAATACTGTCCACTAATCCTCAGCAACGGGGAAAAAAAAGAGAAGCTAAAGTTTTGCGAGGCATATTTTGTCTCAACTTGCTAGATTACTAAGCAAATAAACAGTTCTTGTGAAACTAATAAAAAAAGAAATAGTTGTAGATGACCTAAAAAAGCCCATTTAGAGAGAACAAAATAAATATCAAGAGCAGGCTGAATTTATATCTGCAACTGCACATGAGGAATGTGAGCAAATTGAACTGGGTATCACTTTCCGTGTATCAAATCCATGCAGAAAAATTGCCTATTTCATTCATAAATGCAGACTGGGAGTATAAAACAAGCACTGAAAATAATAAACACAGACATTTAAGTATTTATGCTATACCTATTCAATAACCTCCCAGTATATTTAACAGAAATAACATCCTCCCTCTAGTTACCTTCTCCTTGGGGTCTGGCACGTTGCCTTGATCCTTTTGTTGAAGGCTGCCTTGATATTCCTGCAGGAGTTTCACTCTTTAAAAAAAAAAATTCCACAGATTTATATAATTTTACATTAAAAAATTATATATTTATACATAAAATTTACTTACATATGCTACTTTTCTATCTATATGTATCATACATCAAAAATACTCATTTACAAAACTGACCCACACGTCAGTGGGGCATTAAGAATATGTCAAGTGAGATACTGAAAGGAATAAGGTGATTTATAGAATACCACTTTATGTTTCTATGTACTATATAATACATCTCTGCATCTCATTCAAAATCCTAAAATATGTTTAGCACCTCACAGGATTTCCTCCTGAACTGCTTTTTTTAAGCTTGTGTGAATTAAAGGTCTGTGAAGTTTGCATCCAAGATTTATTGCCAGCCCTGATGATAATGCCCATATTGATAACCTAAATGAGAATTACAAATTCTTTCATTTCTATGCAAATGTTAACGTTATATGTTCCAATAATCTACAAGAGAAAATTATCAAATTTCACAATGTAAATAATTTTCCATAATATCTTGCATATAAGACAATGGACCATACGTGTCATAACTGAAAAATAACACTACAAAATGTTTAAATATATAGGATACTGGTAAGTATTTTTACTCAAACTACTTTAGGTGACCATGCAAGAGAAGCATCTCAACTCTACAAGCTTACAATCAGTGGTCCTGGAGACACGGCTACGTGAAAGAAGGGAATGTCCATCAATGAATGGAAATCCATCAATGACCTGGATGAAGGGATGGAATGTACTCTCAGCAAGTTTGCTGAAGATACAAAACTGGGAGGGGTGGTTGACACACCAGAAGGCTGTGCCACCATCCAGCAAGACCTGGACAGGCTGGAGAGCTGGGCAGAGAGAACCTGAGGAACTTCAACAAGGGCAAGTGTAGGGTGCTGCACCCGGGGAGAAATAACCCCCTGCACCAGGACAGGTTGGGGGTGACCTAATGGAGAGCAGCTCTGAGGAGAAACACCTGGGAGTCCTGGTGGACAATAGGATGCTCATGAGCCAGCAATGGGCCCTTGTGGCCAAGAAGGCCAATGGCATCCTGGGGGGCATCAGGAAGAGTGTGAGCAGCAGGTGGAGGGAGGTCATCCTCCCCATCTGCTCTGCCCTGAGGAGGCCCCATCTGGAGCACTGGGTCCAGTTCTGGGCTCCCCAGTTCAAGAAGGACAGGCAACTGCTTTTTTCCGTGGTGCCCAGGGACAGGACAAGAGGAAATGGGCACAAACTTGAATAGAAGAAGTTCCACCTCAACACGAGGAGGACCTTCTTTGCTGTGAGGGTGGCAGAGCCCTGGCAGAGGCTGCCCAGGGAGGTGGTGGAGTCTCCTTCTCTGGAGACATTCAAACCCCACCTGGAGACACGTTCCTGTGGGACCTGCTTTGTTGGACTAGATGATCTCCAGAGAGATCCAGAGAGGGGTCCCTTCCAACCCCATGTGATTCTGTGATGCAAAGGACGTGTCAAGAACAAGGTGAGATGTTTGCTTTGAAGGCAAATGTTGGCAAATGACATGTCAAGAACATGGTGAGATGTTTGCTTTGAAGGCAAATGTTGCTTTTTTTATATGCTACAATGCGCCACAAGCTCAACAGGAGTTCTTGACAAAGAAAGGGAAAATGTTTCTTAATCACAGACAATCACAGTACACAACTGTGATAAACTGAGAAGTTGAAGTGCTTGGAGGTGCTTTATAGGAAATGAGCAGTCTATGCAAAAGTCAGCTTCCAAAGGTAGTTTAGGTCCTTTATAAACTACATCTCCTTCACCTCCATGATTATAATCTAAGGTGCATGCTCAGAATTTCAGGTATTTGATAGGCCAGAAGAAAGCCCTACATCCCGTGCTTCACAAAAATCTAGCCAAACGGACAGTAATGGACTTTCCTGCTTTGACATAAAGCAGTTTTCACCTGCCCTCTCTTCACTGGATTATTACAATTATTATTTGACCCACAACCGGGGCGATCAATATTTTCGTTTCCCTCTTTAGAAAATGCTGGCGTATTAGAAAGAAAAACAGACAGAAGTCCAAAACGCACAGCTGACACTCAAGTGGTTAATCTTAATCTTATTTCATCTTAATTACTACCACCTTTCACAGTCACAACACTGTGCAAAGAGCAACAGTAAAGCTCGCATACCATCGGAGTCTGGCTCTATGGGCCCTCAGGCCACATCTGGTCCACACCAACTTCAGCAGCTCTTTGGGTTCAAGAAGGACAGGCAACTGCTTTTTTCCGTGGTGCCCAGGGACAGGACAAGAGGAAATGGGCACAAACTTGAATAGAAGAAGTTCCACCTCAACACGAGGAGGACCTTCTTTGCTGTGAGGGTGGCAGAGCCCTGGCAGAGGCTGCCCAGGGAGGTGGTGGAGTCTCCTTCTCTGGAGACATTCAAACCCCACCTGGAGACACGTTCCTGTGGGACCTGCTTTGTTGGACTAGATGATCTCCAGAGAGATCCAGAGAGGGGTCCCTTCCAACCCCATGTGATTCTGTGAAGCACCTGCTGTTGTTCTGGATGGAGATGGTTGAGCTCGGGCAGATGCCACAGCCTGCTTTTTTTATATGCTACAATGCGCCACAAGCTCAACAGGAGTTCTTGACAAAGAAAGGGAAAATGTTTCTTAATAACAGACAATCACAGTACGCAACTGTGATAAACTGAGAAGTTGAACTGCTTGGAGGTGCTTTATAGGAAATGAGCAGTCTATGCAAAAGTCAGCTTCCACAGGTAGTTTAGGTCCTTTATAAACTACATCTCCTTCACCTCCATGATTATAATCTAAGGTGCATGCTCAGAATTTCAGGTATTTGATAGGCCAGAAGAAAGCCCTACATCCCGTGCTTCACAAAAATCTAGCCAAACGGACAGTAATGGACTTTCCTGCTTTGACATAAAGCAGTTTTCACCTGCCCTCTCTTCACTGGATTATTACAATTATTATTTGACCCACAACCGGGGCGATCAATATTTTCGTTTCCCTCTTTAGAAAATGCTGGCGTATTAGAAAGAAAAACAGACAGAAGTCCAAAACGCACAGCTGACACTCAAGTGGTTAATCTTAATCTTATTTCATCTTAATTACTACCACCTTTCACAGTCACAACACTGTGCAAAGAGCAACAGTAAAGCTCGCATACCATCGGAGTCTGGCTCTATGGGCCCTCAGGCCACATCTGGTCCACACCAACTTCAGCAGCTCTTTGGGGTGATGTAATTATTAGCACAGGTGGGGAAGAAGTTGAGAATAGGTGCTGAGGCTTCTGGAGGAGTGGATTCAGTCATTTATTTATGTCAGGTAGTGACTACAAACATCAACCAACGTTTTGTTGAGCCGCCATGTGCACGCTGGCAACAGGTGCAAAGTAAAAGCAAAAAATGTAATCGCTATGGTAGCACACAAACACATAAATCCTACAAAATTTATGATTTGAGTCTTTCCAAAGGGAGATAAAATAGGTCATTCTTTTTCTTATAAATTCAGAGGCTATAAGGCTTTGAAAAGTAGTCACTGGAGCCATTAAAAAAAAAAAAAAAATCTTACATTTCATCTCACACCATCCTGGAAAAAACATATTAAAGTGGATTCCTAGATGGATGCACGCACACCTCCCAGTTTTGAGAAATAAAGCAGCAAACTGCCCAATCTGCTACTTTGTCCTCATTATTAACCTTTAAATAGGTTGGATTTCCCTTTAAGCCATAAGAAAACAATCTAGAAGAGAAATACGCTTTGAGAAGACATCACGCCAAACCATTAATTCCTCCCCCTTTCCATGCAACAACCAACCTCTATATTCAGGAAAGGGTGTCATGAACAGTTTTTATCAGTGATTTTTATACTGCTCCCATAAGGAATTTTGCAGATGATACCAAGCTGTGTGGTGTTGTCGATACACCAGAGGGATGGGATGTCATCCAAAAGGACCTGGACAGGCTGGAGAGGTGGGCCCAGGTGAACCTCATGAGGATCAACAAGAGCAAATGCAAGGTTCTGCACCTGGGCCGGAACAATCCTCACCACCAATACAAACTGGGGGGTGAGGGATTGGAAAGCAGCCCTGAGGAAAGGGACTTGGGGGTGCTGGTGGAGGAGAAGCTGGACATGAGCAGGCAGTGGGCAGCTGCAGCCCAGAAGGCCAATCCCATCCTGGGCTGCATCAAAAGATGCGTTGCCAGCAGGTCCAGAGAGGGGATTCTGCCACTTTACTCTGCTCTGGTGAGACCTCACCTGGAGTCTTGTGTGCAGGTCTGGAGCCCTCAATAGAAGAAGGACATGGACCTGATGGAGAGGGTCCAGAGGAGGGCCACGAGGATGATCAGGGGGATGGAGCACCTCTGCTACGAGGACAGGCTGAGGAAGCTGGGGTTGTTCAGCCTGGAGAAGAGGAGGCTCCGGGGAGACCTAACAGCAGCCTTCCAGTACCTGAAGGGAGCTACAGGAAGGCTGGGGAGAGCCTGTTTAGAAAGGCCTGCAGTGACAGGACGAGGGGCAATGGCTTCAAGCTGGAGGGGAACAGATTTAGACTGGAGATGAGGAGAGGGTTCTTCACTGTGAGGGTGGTGGAGCACTGGAACAGGTTGCCCAGGGAGGTGGTTGAGGCCCCATCCCTGGAGATATTCAAGGAGAGGCTCGATGAGGCCCTGGGCAACCTGGTCTAGTTGGGGGTGTCCCTGCTGACTGCGGGGGGGTCGGACTAGATGGCCTTTGGAGGTCCATTCTGGCCTGGGCAGTTCTATGATTATATGAATTCTGTCCATCCTTACATACATCTCCTCCAGCCACAGCACAGTCAAAGGCAGAACAAACACATCCACCTACACCAGGGAGGGGGACAAGTCATCATATAAATTAGCCACCGGGACTCTCCCCCTCTAATTCATCAGATCCACAGAGAGTTCACTAATAATAAACAAGAATTAAGTCTGTGAATAGGACTTTAATTCAATTAACCCTCCACAATACTTTTCTTCTCATTAGATCCACAGTCCCAGGAGGCGTATTTGCATGTATACTGTAAATAACGTGTGTGTCTAAGTTTATATAAATAAAACAACATATATGTGTGTATATGTAAGTTTTATATAAATGCAACTACATAAATTATTTTTTTAATTTTGTGCAACAGACCATTCCTCAACAAATAAACACAGCTCATTTTTAATGCTTTTACTGAACGCTATGTATCCCTCAAAGACTTACGTTGCTCTTTCCCTCAAATTGTCTCCATTTCCAGTATTTATTCCTAAAACAACGATCATTACCAACAGACAGAATTTATTAGTGTGCAACAGCACCAAGGAAGGATCTCCACTTGCTAAGGTCAATTTGACTGCTACGGTGATAAAACTTATTAGGAAAATATTGATGACTGCTGCGGTGATAAAACTTATTAGGAAAATATTGATCAATTACCTCTTCCCAAAATGAAGGTTTGCAAGATGTTGTTCTATTCATGTTAGCTTCTGCTAATTAAAACCTTTCAAACACTAAAAAGAACTATTAGGAAAATTCCATGTTTTAAAATGTAAGTTTTAATGATGGATTTCTCACAAAAAGAACTATTAGGAAAATTCTGGTTTTTAAAATGTAAGTTTTAATGATGGATTTCTATTATATAAGCCAGTTATGAATAACTGACACCAAAAAGAGAGGCTCATTCACGGCACCGGAACAAAAACATCTGAGCCACATCCAGCAGATTTCCATGGAATGAAACTGACACCAAAAAAAGAGAAGCTCATTCACAGCACCGGAACAAAAACATTTGAGCCACATCCAGCAGATTTCCATGGAATGATCCTCTCTGCTGCTTCTAGAGCAGTTATGTCCTCTTTTTTTTTCTTTTTTCTTTTTTTCTATTCAGTAGTTGTTTCATTATATAGTCGAGATGAGTTCCAACAGAAATCAAAGTTCATTAGATACGACTTAGAGGCTGATTCAAGTGACCAGTTCCAGAGCAATACAGTTTGTAGGGCAAAAATAAAAGTCATTATAGAGAGGCCAAAAATGACAGGATATTACAAAAAGTTTTAGCCAAGAGTTTCATCAGCCATCTGTAAAATGGAAGAGACTTTTCCAACGTGTTTGGCCTTAGGGGTAAATGACATACCAGTTCTGCAGCCCCTTTCAGATAAACAGCACCATACGCTCAGAAGCTCTATGACCTGAATAACCTCTTGTCAAAAGAGAAAGTGATCTTTATTATTTAGAAGGTCAATCAGTCATGCTACGAAGCACCCATTTTAAATAAGACTTTTACCTGAGATGGACTGAGAGCTAACAAATGCAACTCAACTTGCTCTGATCACAAACACTGTAGTATGAAACAACTAGCCTTGAAACAGCAAGTAGTCTTCTTTCAATTACCATTAGCCAAATGTCTCTTCTTAATTATTAGCCAAATTATGAGCCAAATGTCTCTTCTTAATTCCTTCTTATATTTGCTTTCCTTTAGTAACAGAAAATTATGGATACCCATGTGATGACAATCACATAGCGGATAACATGCAGAGTTGCTTTAGTACCCGAAAAAATAAAGTTAAAAAAAAAAGAAACCTCAACCTGTCAGAATTTAAGTAGCATTTTAAAACTGGCTTCCAATAATTGGTAGTAAGAAAAAATTAAGACTTGTATGAGTGCAGGTAGAATCTTATTTAGACTCCTAATCTCATAGGAGCAAAGCTAGGAACTGAACTTTGAGTCACAGCTTTGCTATACATCCAGAGTATGAAACAAAAAAAAAGCCAAAACCAGAAACCTAAATTAGTTTGTTCTCTAAAGTAAATGCTGCTTAGAAGCCAATCAGCCCGAATATTCCACAGACATGTCAAATGAAACAAAAGTTCCTGTTGACTAATGCTTTTTCCATGTCCTTACGCTGCCAAGCAGCGTGTCTGAAGAAGGTCCTAATTCAAGTAAGGAAGAAGCAAAATGAAAAATAGCTCATTATGATGTGAAGCCACTTAAAACGAGGCTTGGAAAGAAAGAGAAGCTGTGGCTTCTCCTGGGGAGCACAAGGATAAAGAGAGCAGGACGAGGAGCTACAACAAGAACAAACCAGAGGTAAGAGGAGGATAATCCTCAGGGCAGAAAGGTGACATGGCAGGTAATGCCAGAACAGCCACTGCTTGAGAGGGGCCACTTCAAATTGTTTCACTTGCACTACATTTGCAAAAAAGCTAAAGACAGATGCCGAAGATTTATTAATCATGCAGCAGAGACTACAACTATGATTCAATACTCATAAAGACATAAATTGTTTTCCTTCTTTTTAAGACGCTTCTTTCGCTGCCGTGTGACTTAAATGGAGTTATAGTCGTTTAAATCAGGGTAAATCCCTAGAAGTAAAGGCATTACTCTGCTGCGAAACTACTGTGAGGACAAGAAGATCAACCCCAGTCCATTAGATGCACTTTCCAATTATTTCATGCTGGAATTTCCTCTAAATCACTTGGTGCAGCTATCCAGCTCGAAAAATTCATTGGGAACGTTTTCATTTCTTTCTTCCACAGTCCTAAGGAGATGCCCATTTGTCATGCACTTGGTCTAAAGCGTGTGTTTTCATCACCTAAAAACTAAGTACCCTCTACTGTTACGCAAGCAAGCAGATGAAAAGCATGTCATCTAGATTTAAGGTAATAAGCCCACATGCCTTGGAATCCCTCCCAAAAGCACTTAAGACGGGAAATGAAACTTTACTGCCCCAGTGTATTATTGTGGTGCCCAAGAGCACTATGATAGTTTGGGATGAGGCTCAGAATTTCCATTAGAGACCCAATTTGCAGGAAGTTTAACTTGGCCACGAACATTTTGCTTCAGGCTAAAAAACTATTTTATAAGCTCTCCCTCCAAGTGCCAATAATTTAAAAAAAGTGTTGGATTTCAGTCAAAGAATAGCTATAAATTTGTCATCTCATGTAGAAGACACGATGATGTCAGTGGCCCGTAGACTCTCAACAGAGACTCTTGTTAGACTTGGGATCCTGCCTATTTTTTCCTTAGTCTGAGCTGCTTTAGGTTAATTTATTGAAGTCTCAACTCTTTAAACATTTAGCCATATGGCTTCCTAATTCCCCAGATTGCCTCAGGTCATCAGGAAGCAGCAGATGCAGACACAACGGTATCACAAGCAACAGCTACTGTTCAGAGGCCATCAGTGAGTTGCTATTCTGCCCTACCATCATCCAGCTGCAAAACACAGGCCCAGACACAACATTGGCCTGATTTTCTTTCCCAAAACAGTAACTTCTATTAAAGTACCCCCCCCCCCAAAAAAAAGTAACAGCTTTCCAGGAAAGATACAGAGGAATAAACAGAAAACTTTGAACAAATATTTTTCCTGACGTACCCAATATATCAATATCCAGAAATAAATCTGGAAAATTAAATAAACTGGGTATACCTCCTTTTGTCCAAGCTCAGAGAAATCTAAAAAAATATAAATACAAGAAAAGCTCCCAAACCTAACAACCAGAGAAACATCCGTTTTACAGCCCTAAAATTTGTCATCTCCCTACCTTTCAATCCTACATTCCTTTCATCCAGATTCCCAAATCATTCTAAAATGCAACACTTTCAGTCCTCACATTCCCAGACCATCTGTGGTACTAACCTCATTGTCTGGCTGGCACTTGCTGTCTTTAGTTGGCTTTAGTGTTTTTCTAAGTGTGGATTCCTCAGAACCTGTGGACTAAGAAGAAATTAATTGCTTTAGATTCAGTGTGCTGAGAAGTGACCTACGTACCTAAAAAATGTGAAAGGGGAAATTAGCAAAGAGTAGAACTGAGGACATTACAATGGTACTCTTACCCATCTACCTGCCCTCTTTACCTTGCCTTCCCCATGCAGGAGACTAACCAAGGAAAATCTACAGTTCAACATTGTTCTCTCTAAGTAATACCAGTAAGGCAACAATCCTTAAGACCAGCAGACAGAAGTGCCTTCTCACTTCTAACAAAATTAAACTTCTCCTCAACAACACAAGCGCCTTTGATGTCCAGTAATCCCAAATTTCTACCACGAACCAGCATGCACCAGGAGAGAAAACAAGAATAGGAAATACTTAGGGGAGGAAGAGATAAGATAAAAAGAACAGGAAAATGAAAGGCAATGAAGAGATGGCTCTTAAGGCAGTCTGAGAAAGCCTGCAGTATGGGGAAACAGTGGATGTTTTCATTCTCAAAGACCCAAACAGAGCACCACTGCAAGAGGGAAATGATTTGATCTAGATGGCTTTCCCAACAGTTCTTTATAAAAAAAAATAACAAAGGATAAAAATAGAACCATGCAGAGTTCAGAAAAGAAATAACAGAAAGGAAAAAAATAGAACCATGCAGAGTTCAGAAAAGAAACTGCTTATTAGATGTTCAAGAGGCACAGTCCACTAAGTCTTATGGCTCAAGTCAACATACATCATGATGGAGACATGAAGTTACACTTGGGCCCTCAATCACACTCTTACCAGAACAAATCCACACCAACACTTTCACTTCATGAGAGTAATTGCTGTTAAAGACAGTACTTAATTGTTAAATGAGCAGAGAGTAGAAACATGCAAATTCACATATATACAAACATTACAACAACTGTTCAGTCCCTACCACAGCGTGCCAGAAGTTATTCTCTCCAAAGTAACATTTCAATTACCTTTTTCTCTGCTTTATCCTTTCCATGTTCTCTTAAATGCTCCCCTTCTTTTTCTCTGTCCCTTTGTCTATCCCTTTCCCGATCTTTTCCTCTCTCTCTGTCTTTCTCTCTCTCCCTGTCCCTAGCCTTGTCTTTGTCTCTTCCTTTCAGTCTGTCCTTTTCTCTTCCTCCTTCATTTTTTTTCTCTCTTTCCTGTCCTTTATGTTGCTCAAGATCATCTTCTCGTTCTATGTCTCCTTTTCCCTTGTTTTTTTCTGTTTCTTTTCCTTGCTTGGTCATTCTGCTTTTGTCTCTTTCCCTTTCTTGCTTTTCTCCTTCCTTAAAGGTGTCTCTTTCAGGGTCTTTGTGCCTGTCTTCATTATTCTTCTGTTTATCACTTTCCTTTTCTCTTTCTTCACTCTCATTCAAATCTCCTTTGGGTTTTCGGTCTCTGCTTGAGCTTCTGTCTTTAATTTCAGTCTCTCCTCTACCCTAAAAAGAAAGTAAAAACTAAAATTCAATTCTGATACATGGCAACTCTATCACACAGTTACCTTCAACAGAAAAAAACGCAAGCTAAAAAAAACCACCAACCAACAAAAAAAACCCAAAACCCAAAAAAACAAACCATAAAAAGGCAGTAGTCCTTGTACCCCACAAAAGTTGCAAATGCCTACCTCTTTATGGCTTTTTTGTTCTTCTGGTTTGGATTCTCTGCTTTCTTTATCTCGAGATTTAGAGGATGAAAGCTTCCCTTTAGCATCAGCTCTTTCCCCAGCTAAGACCCTTTTTACAGCAACATCACTGGACAGCTGCAAGGAATGGAAAAAGGAAATGAGTAAATTATTTTATTAAACATCTTCCTTCCTTCCTAACTCTGTAATCAACATGACCTGGTTTTTGGGGGGGAGAGAATTTGTTAGTGTTTTTTTTTAATAAAGCTTATATTTCAACTCTTTTGGAAACATTCTTTCAGAGAAGCAGCAATGGGCTTTTATGTCAAACACCTCCTTGTAATTCTTGCAAAAATTTGATTATATTTGCCAGAGCTACATAAATATACAGTGCTTTTTATGTACTCTAGCAAAATAGCAATTCTCATTGCAACAACTCAAATATTTTTTAAAATGGTAAGGTAAATGACTGTCAAATCCTTATACCACGACTGCTAAACCACCTGATGTTGTATTTGCATCCACTCTTAGGCCACACCATTTTCATCTAAAACTTGCTCAATCAGCAGCAGCTTCTCAAGAAAACTACATTAAGAATGAGTTTCAATAAGATGCCGTTATGCTTTTCAAAAGGCCTCTGCATCTAGTTCATTTCTTAAAATGACAAGCAATTATTAATTAGATGACTTACACAGCAAGTTAACGAAACGTTTTCATGTCCAAGTGGCAAAGAAAAAAAATCATCACATTGTCAGGGAATTCTTCCTGAAACAGGAATGACTTTTAGCTCACGAAAACTGATATTGCCCTGGGGGTTGGCTCCTGATTTTCTCCTGGTTTGTCAATGCAAAACTATGAATTTTTGTGGGGTTTCACATTTGGACACAAACTTCTGCACGTTAGTGACACTTACCTGAATTACTGACTCCAAACAGTGTGCTCAGCTCATCACTTAAAGTATCAAGCTAAAGACTGAAGGAAATTTTTTCCACCATGCACATCAGACACAACAAAAGCCAAGGGGCTAATTATCTTAGGTCAAACAAGTAGACTATATCTTCTGGATATTAAATCTCATCACAACATTCTATAAAGCTGTTCCATCAAGCACATTTTCTAACTCATCCAGTATCTGTGCATATGTTTATCAGCTTCCCCCTTCCTGATCTCAAGCAGTTCATAAGGAAGAAGCTCATAGCACTCGGCTAATTAAAACAAAACAACAGGAATTTAAATGAGTAGGTCAAAGAGAATCCAAACTAAACTTGCAGACAGCCTATAAACACTGTAGTATTTCAGTTAAATATACACAACTTCTTCACACTCATTAATTCAAGGGTTTTAGATAATACTTTTGTATTTCAAAAATCTCTGTAACATTTATAAGCAAAGATTTCCCATTACTTTAAGAATGCAACCATTATTTTAAGAACTGCCCCTACAGTTGTTTATAACAGGTTATCAAATTGCTCCTTTGCCTCATACCCATATTCAAAAAAGGTTAAAAAAAAATAAATAAAACAGAAGCACATAGGAAAAATCACTTTCTTTACAGAATTATAGGTTTGACTGAAATTTTAGAGAAGAAAAGTCAAAGGTGGCAGCATCTGGTCATTTAATTAACGCGTCTGCATCCAAAATTTTTATAAGTTCTGAAGATTCATATTCTTCTCCAAGCCTCATAAATGTTATTAAATGACCAATAAGTAAGGTGAAAAAAAAAAGCATACATTAAAAACACTAAAATATCCAGAAAGTATTTGCACAGGGACCTGACTGAAACTCTACTAAGGATCCTATACTATCTCTCTGTTGTTATTAGAAGTGGTGACTCAACATTTATCTCATGTAATTAAAAACAGCAGATGAGCGTCAATAAAATCTGTTGCAAATAAGCTCTGAAAATATATCTCCACATGTATAAAATACATATGATGTGACATCATACCTTATTTAGGCAACACTTCCCAATTGCTTGAAGAAATTCATTGGTTTTTTCAGGTTCGTGTCCAGCCACAACACGTGCAGGTTTTACTGACAGCGGCTCTCCCGTTACCATGACAACAGCATCGATTGCCTTCTGAAGGAAGCTGATTTTGGCATCTTTATCCTGGTGAAAGAGCAATTAAGAAATAACACTGAGACTCCAAAACAATTCCACACACCACCTAAAGACTAGGAAAAACTCTGATGGGAGGCATAGCTGCAGAAGGCATCCATACAACAAGAACAGCACACGGTTTGTAAGGTCAGGAAAGAGGGCTGCCCCTGATTTATTGTTAGTTATTTATTTCTAATTAAGAAATGACAGCTTTCACAAGGGATGAACAATGAACTGGAACGACCAAAGTGAAGGTATAACTTTATCTTTTTAATATGCTTATCATTTAGCTCCAATGCATTTCAAGATTGCTGTAAGACCCTTGGCACTCTATTCTCTCTCTAAAGAAGATGAAGTTTTGATGAAGAAATGATTGCAAGTATTACCAAAAGAATCACTAGAGAGTCACAACAGAACTGTTACAGTAGATATTCCTCAGAAGGACAGTTCTTGCCCTGAATATTTTTCAGCACAGCATGTCACAAAGTTATGGGACTTATATGAGTCTGATCTGAGGGACTTACATATTCATACACATACTTTACAAACCAGACTTAATAGTGAGTAAAGAAAACATACAAAAGATGGTGGGAAAGGGATACAGGCACATATTTTTATCTCAACAATTACCAGATGTGTTTTAGTTTTATAATTACACTTTACAAACAACTTTCTCCAAGTGCCCTTCAGTGGAGATGATGGCTTTAGGTGATAAAGCAAAATCATAAGAAGAAAAAAAAAAAAAAAAGGACAAAATAAACCAACCCCCACCAAGTAAAACTTTATTGAAGAGTTCCTGGCCCAGAGAATGAAATCATAGTGTGAAGCAAAATCATAAGAAAAAAAAAAAAAAAGACAAAATAAACCAACCCCCACCAAGTAGAATTTTATTGGAGGGTTCCTGGCCCAGAGAATGAAATCATAGTGTGAAGTCTCTGCAGCTGCAGAATATTCACAGGGTGAAAAAAAAACCAACAGTTGTACTAATAAAACATAATAAAATTCAAGGAATATTTATCAGGCCAGCACAGAAGTCTACTCACTCATCCTTTACAGTCATGAGTGGAGATAAGAAAGTACTTAACTAGCCTGTTAAAAAGTAAGAATTCTCTCTATGTGTTTTAATAGGCATCAGTTCAAAAGAATATAAACTATAGCATTCAACCTGATAACTGAAACGCAGATCACTGCCATTTCAGTTAATTCAGAAAAGAAGCAGTTGTAATCCAGTAAAACACCTGATTTTGCACTGCACTTGCTGCATCTCAGGTGCACAGGTCCAGAATGAGCTGGGTCTAATTTGTTAGACATACCAATACAGAGGAAAGCAAGGGAAGCCAGTATTTCCTCAGCTGAGCAAGACCAGATAGATATATAGATATATGGAGATATAGAGATATAGAGATATATATAGATCCACACGTTTTCTCAAGTCCAAGAGCCATTCTCCACAAACAAGAACTGGCTTCTGCTGCAAGCACATAAATGATAGCTAAACACCTGGGAAGACAAGCTCCAGAGTCAGGGTACTTCCCATCTTTGACTCTTCCAAAAGGACTAAACCAAACAACTTCCGAATAGCTGGGATTTTCAGATTGTCTCCATTAACATCAGGAACACTTCACCCTCACCAGCACTTCCTGCATTCACAAATAAAAAGGGAAAGGAAGGAAACACTGCAGCTATTAAAATAGTTGTCCATCTTTCCAAGGACACATGCAATCAACTTCGGGAAGGAGACAAGATTTTCTCCTATATCCTCATCATTTTCAGCAGTTACATTATCAACATGTTCTGTCCACATAAGAAATCCTCATGCACGCAATAAGAAATACACAGCTCCTACCCGCATCAGTAAATAAAAAGTTTTATCAAAATAGAAACAAACATCTGAAACTGAAAGCTTAAGAAATATTTTTATTGGGTATCTTTCAAACAAAGCTATCTCCACTATTCCAGGTGGTTAAGAATTTACATATATAAAAATACAAAGACTTTTCTGTGTGCATAAAGCTGATGTTGAAGATTAAAAGATATCCACTCTTTTGGTCTCCGTATAAAGATTAATTACTGTCCTGATTTTCTACAACTCCAACAGAAATCACGGTAAGGAAGCATCAAAGGAGATCCAGGTCTTTCTCCTGACCAGTGTTTTGGAAAGAACACCACAAGCTAGAGATATTTTCCCTCATACTACAACATTTTGATCCCCTCTGTGGTTTTCAAGAGTTCAGGCAATCTCATGGACTGTGAAAGAAATTCTCAGAGAGGTAAATGAGATCGGTGCAACGTCACAGCTATCACAGTGTGTAGGTACAAACACAGACCTAGTCAGAAGTTGCTAGGAAATATGCTTTTTCCATCTACCAAATAAAATGCACCATGTTCTCCAAAGATAAGGAGAGCTGCTAAGCTGCTCTTCATCACAGAACCTACTGACAAGCTTCAACAGGGAAAGTACCAACAATCGAGATGGGTGCAACTTCACAGCTACAAACACAGACCCACTCAGGAGTTGCTAGGAAATACACTTTTTTGATCTACCAAATAAAATGCACCATGCTCTCCAAAGCTAAGGCAGCGTGTGCTAAGCTGCTCTTCATCACAGAACCTATTGACAAGCTTCAACAGGGAAAGTACCAACAAAAACAATCAATCCACCGTATAAGAAATTCAGTTTCGAGTTATCCTAACAACAATAAGAACAGTCACAGAACTAAAAATACGTATCAGAGAGGTAATTAGCTGGAAGAAGTGCACAAAACATCCATGCAACTGGCTGTCTGGGTGACAAGCCAGGCTCACAGACCTCATACTTTCAGTTGCTATATGAAAGAATCACCAACAGATGTAGCTGTCTGCCTAGCAACATACACACCCTGCGTTATTTGCCATGAACAAGCAAAAGTCAGTAGTTGGAGAAGTGAGCAGCCCTGGCTCAGCAAAGAGGCACACAGTAGAAGAGCAGCAAACAGAGACTAAAGTCACCTTTGGACTTAAGAAAAGCATTTTTCAGTAATAACATCGACCTCCTCCTTCAGTAATTAGCCATTTGTCTACTGTAATAAAGCTTTTGTGGAATGCATATACTGACAAATGCCTCAGTAAGTCCTGGGATATTAAACAAGAATATTTAGGGAATATATAATACAGTATGTATATATATCTGTACATGTATATACATGCACATATATAAAACCATAAATATAAAACCATACATTCCATTCAGAGACCACCAGACTCTTTAAAAAGCCGTGTGTGCATTTCCAGTGTCTGTGATTTATTACCACTGCCTAACTACTACTTCAAGGCAACCCTGCTACACGATGGCTCTTTTCACCTGTAACACAACGGTATTTTGGAAGACCAAGATCTGGTCATACATTAATTGCACACTGTTTTGAGATCTGTACAGAAATAGCTCTCTACACACAACAGCTTATTTGCTCCACGTCCACAAACACAATCTACAGGTGTTCACCTCGTGCAACCGCATAATGTAACCAACAGGTAACAGCTTTTATAATTTCTTCACAAAACTAAAGACAGGTAGTCGACACTGAATGCTGAAAAGACCCAAGTGCCTTGTGGCAAATTTCAAAGAATACTAATATTAAAGCTAAATGATTAAGGTAAGTTTCGTACCCACCTTAATGTTATCTGATTTCAATTCGAAATCCGTGTAAAGTCCTTTCATAAAACCTGTCACTCTGATTACCTTCAAAACAGAAAAAAAGTTTTAAGGTAAGCACACCCGAAGGCTTCTGTTCAATACAGCTTGTGTGGCAACAGGAAATACATTGGCCTTATTTGCTTTCAGAGATGACACCCTGACTAGAACTATTTCTAGAGCAGGTTGGAAGGTCTGCTGTCTCTCTGAACGTGCTCTGGAGCAATGAGACTTAATCCTTGCTTACAGCTCAGGCCTCCCTTCCTATTTAATTCCATCTTTAACCTTGAATCCAGGAGCTTCAAGCGTGAACAAGCATATGCATTTTAAATACAGCTCTGCATTATTCCCACATTGACATCTTTACATGTGACTATATATAAAAGCAGCAGCTCAGTGAATATAAAAATTAAGAGTTTGTTCTTGGATTGTTGTTGTTTTTTTTTAAATGGAGGGTGGAAAAAGAATCTACTAAGAGGTTTCACAAAAGATCAAATGCGTAGAAGACTGAGGTCCTGGGTCTTTTTAGTCTGGAGAAGAGAAGGCTGAGGGGGGATCTGATCAATGCTGATAAATACTAAAAGGGTGAGTGTCAAGAGGACGGGGCTGGTCTTTTTTCAGTGGTGCCCAGGGACAGGACAAGAGGGAATGGGCACAAACTTGAATAGAAGAAGTTCCACCTCAACATGAGGAGGAACTTCTTTGCTGTGAGGGTGGCAGAGCCCTGGCAGAGGCTGCCCAGGGAGGTGGTGGAGTCTCCTTCTCTGGAGACATTCAAACCCACCTGGACACGTTCCTGTGGGACCTGCTCTGGGTGGCCCTGCTCTGGCAAGGGGGGTGGAGAGATGATCTCCAGAGGTCCCTTCCCACCCCAGGTGATTCTCTGATCTGCCCTTAACCACCGCCAGCCACCCTAAAACCCCTGAGACTTACTCACTACCCCGAACCCTCTGAGATTTACCGGTTACTCGCAGAGTAACACCCACAGCAGCGACCTGCGTAAGCCACCCAGCCCTGGCCATGCCCCGGAAAGGTGAGGGGGTCCCTCACTCCCAGGCGAGGGAGCCCTCAGGGCCACGGGTGTCCCCCCCACCACGGTACGACCCCCCCCACCCTCCCCACC